AGCGATACGCATAAATTTTTCATACTCTTAATTAGTTAAATATAAATTTTATAATTATTTGAGAATCATTAAAATATGTAAATTTATATCAAAATTAATTCATATTAAAAAGAATCAAACTTCAAATCTAAATGAATTCACATTTGATCATTAATAAGTTTATTTATCATTGCCCATATAATAAAGAAAGTCATTTATTTATTACAATTGATCATCAATATTGTATTTTTGCTAAAAAAATAGCAAAATATTTCCAAAAAACAAGTATTACCAACAATTCAAACAACAGGCGTTTGAATCAACTCTCGTTTTTGAAATCATACTTTTGTCCTGGTTTTATGCCCAACTTTTGTTGCTCTATTTGATATTTGATTTGCAATATCAAATTATTTCCCAAAAAATCACTTATTTATCTATAGAATATAATGTACAAATCAAAGTTAAATATGTAATTTCAAACTTAAAAAAATATTGAATATACAATTTTAATATAAAATAGACATACATGCAATGAAAACAAATTATTTAATCTTTCCATTCATTTTGTCGGATTAATCTAAAAACTCAATATCTTTTAATTTTTTAATTTAAATTTCATTCAAACATCTTTACATTTTTAAAATTTTTTCACATCAATTTCAAATTGTTTTAGAGATATGGTATATGCTCTGAAACCATATCTCTAAAAAATACCATATCTCTAAAAAAATTAGACATTTCCGATAGAAACGTTTTCTTGTTCATTTTTTAAACTAAAATTATACATTTATTTCCTTCAAAAATACATATAGTGTTTTAGATTTGAAAATGAAAATACTCATAAGTCTCACTTAAAAAATCATCAATAGTATGAATAAAATATAAAAATTATTTTATGCATGAAATTTGAAACAAATAATTAACAACCTCAAAGTATGACTTTCAATGAAGATTCATCTTGAAAAATACAACCATTTATGAAATAACTGGATTTTTATTACAATGTTCAATTTTGATGTTGAAGTCTTTATATTTTTCAGAAAATCCACAATCATCTTTACTATTTTTTATGTTGAATGCTCCAAATATTAAACTATAACAATATTTACATCAAATTTTTTTAAAATCAAATCTATCTCAATCTGCAAGTTTGTTTTCTTCTTAATTGATCAATGAGAACACATTGTTGTAGACTTATTGAAAAGCTAAGATTTGCCACTTTTAGTAAAAAAATTATCCTTATTTAACATCATTGTGAACAATATACATAAATACAATTTTATATTTATTTTTGATACAAATTTGTGAATCGTAGAATATATATATATATATATAATTTTTTTACAGCCTATGTATTAAATAAATTTCACTTGATATTGTTATTTCATTTGAAGCTGAAATATCACAATTAGCTTTTTACATACTTACTTTTATAAATTTTTAAAAATACATGTTGTTTTTGTTTATCAAAATTCAAATTTTAAACACTATATTTTCATAAATCCATAAAAATCTAGAGCTTTTACATACATAGGTCAATCTGTACTATCAAATTTATTGATGTGTTAGGTTTTTGTTTAAGATTGTAAATAAGCATTAGATAAGAAAGTATAGACAAATATAAAAGATTGGAACAAGATAATGCAACAAAATAGATGTATCTCACAAAATTTTGAAATAAAAAACTATTAAACTATTTGTTGGTTGAACATTGTCTTAATTTGCATATGCACAAAAAATTGAATGAACTTAAAAAACAATGTATGATACAAAAATTCATAATTGCTAAAATTTTCTTATGTGGAGCTAAAGACTTCTTTGAATCTTAAATGTTTTTGTTGTAATCATCTTAACTCTTTAATGCTTTAGTTATTTGCTATCATGCAATTTTTACCTAACAATAAATCAAAACCATTACTCAAATTTACATTCAAATATGATATACTTGAAATCATCTTTGTTCTACTCCCTTATCTTGTTTATTTTCATCAATTGCATATTTATGCTTTAGCTTTAACCAAGCTAAATTATCTTTGAACTCACTGAATGATCAACCTAACTTTGTAAAGCTTTGATTCTAAAACATTACTCAAACTTTTGTTGATAGAGAGCCGACATAGTGAACGGATAATGTAGATTCAACCATATGGATAGTATAAAACTTCCATGAACTCAAACCTAAGTCTCAATCATGTCAAAATTTGCTTTTATTTAGACACAACACAACAATTTTTTACAAGTTTATAGCTTATAATGCAAATATTTTATTTTTGTTGTGAAGTTCAGAACATGAAAAACATACCAAGAAAACATATCTTGCATAATGAATTGTTGTAACTATGTATGCAACAATTTGGGTTACAACAAATCAAAATCTTGTGTTTACAAATCCTTGTCATATATCACACCGCGATGTCAAATTAGCGATAATATTTTACACCATATTAATAGTACTTAGATTATAATTGTTGCAATTGAATTAGATTTTGACGATAAATGTTTTGTGATTCAAAAAATTTGTAGTGAAATTCAATGGCTTTGATTACAAGAAAGTTCAAAGAATGAGATTTTATTTGTCATCAATCATAAGAATGACGCACAAAGTTCTACTTTCAAATATTTTTTTGTGTGAAATTTTTTTGCAAAAACTCATCTACTAAAATCAGTACAATACGCAGATATTTGCAAAATATAAAAAATGATTAACACAAAGTCATAAAACATGTTACAAAAAAACTATGTTCATTGATATGCATTACGCTTTCTCTTTTGCTAGCTCTTATGCATTTTGTAATTATTGCTGACACTGAGTTACTCAAATACGATATGGATGTACATCCTAAATCATTTACTTGCTGCTTGCTCCATCTTGACACAAATCTTGATTTACACACTCCATTTTACGGTGATCTTCAACGCGTGTGAAGGGGCGTAAACAGAAGGGAAGCATATTGTCTGATGTATTTTAGTCTGAAGATCTGTATACATTGTGGATGCCATTTTGAGTTCTTAGGGTATCTTGGATTGAACTAGAATGTCCAACAACATTGCTCATGTCATGTTGTGCTTCATGTTGTCATACACATGTATGAAGAGACTTAATGTGATGCAATTGTGGAACTGAAAACAAACCAAGATGATGATTTGAAATAAAAAGAAACATAAGATTGTTTTTTCATTTTTATACATAGCCAACCAAAGGTTGCAAAAATTTCCATCAAAGAAAGTATCAAATAATTGATTTGAGTCAATTCACTTTTTATTGTGATAAATCACCAACTATGTATTAAAATGCAACAGTAATCGTTTAGTTCAGTCTAGTTATTCTTATAAACATAATACAAAAATATTTTGAATAAATCTGTAAAAAAACTTGAAAGTTAAGTATACAATCTCAATTATATGTACAAAGATTGCTCTTTGATAAGGAGATAAGTTTAGCTAATTTATTTGTAGCTTAGATTGTTAACCATATTGTAATTGATGTAATTTTTAAAAAAATTGTTGAGTGTACACTCACAATTATTTGGTTACATTATAAAATTACATCTTAAATTTACTCTTTCTATACATCTATGCAGCAAAGTTCTTAAAATATTGATATGAAGATGTTATATTTTTTAAAGTCGAATTTAAAATATAATAATAATAATAATCGAATAATTATAGATTTGATGCTAAAAATTGGAAAATTATAAAATAATCAAAATTTCATTTTTGGATCACTTTCTTGCATCATAAACATATTTAAAAAAATATTATTATAATAATTAAAATTTGATCAAGCTATGTACAATCATAACATTCTTGAGAATACACTCATCAAGATTTTGAAATATATCAAAGAAGTTGATATGCAAGCTCAAAATATAATCATTTTATCACGAGACGTATACGGACATGGATTGTGTCATATCTTCGGAGTCATACCAAAGGTGTCTCTTCAAGAACTCAAATGCGCTCTGCCATCCAAATGTGATCACTTTATTAATTTTTCATTCTTTCTCATTACTGATGAGATAGGGAAAGGGTTCTATTTATCCCCATGGCTTCCAACGACATGAAAAGTGAGAAATGGCGGAAATATTGCTCCTTGAACATTGGTACCAGAGTTCGAAGTGAAGTGTTGTTCTCCTAAACTAACTTTTTCCGAAGGAACAAACTATCATAGGCAGAGGAATGGTAACCGGTGGTCAGATATTAACCTCCCTCAATTGCTATCACATACACTTTCTCGTTTATTGGCTGGACCGTTGTAGGGTTTAGAATGTATATTCCATAGAGATGCTACTGGGATCTAGCCCCATGTTATACCCAGTATGCTAACATATTGATGTGTTAGCATCTTAGTTTTTATTTTAGTGTGCTCTCACCAAAATGCTCTCACTAAGCTCGAGGGTTCGAACGTCAGTCACATCTTTGCACAGTCCAACTTTTCCATCTGTGAACTGTTGAAATTCAAAGACAGGCCCCGCTCTTGCTTAATGCCTGTGGCATTATTGATCCACAGAATATTGTGAGTACTTTCAACTCTTACGCAAAAGAACGTCGCCTACATGTGGAACCAAGTGAGAGAATCCCGATGGGGCCCGCCAAGAGCCAACCGGCTGCGGTACAGACGAACTGGAAAAGATGGTGTTTTCTAATTACGAATTCTCTACGCTTTTCTGTCCGCAAGGATGATTGGGCAAAAAATGCACATCATCAGGTGTCCGAGAGTTGCCACTGCTTTCGCGGGAGACAAACCTGGGTGAGTTTTGCACCGGACTGAGCAGAGAGAGCGATAGAGGTGGGGCCGCGAGACTTGCTTTCACCTTGTGAGGCCATCCCAATAGGTACGTAGCAAGGGTAAGATGAAGGAGGCCATGTGAAGCGGAGGTCGAGTGGGAGGAGCATATCTTTTGCTGACCGGGCCGATGCCCATATGGGCAGAGTCGACGTGTCACTGCTAGTGGCCAAGCGCTCAGCTAATGGCCTGATATTTACGCATCCCTCGCTCTCCTCCGCTCCTCTCTCGGGCCGAACGGCTCCGCCCCAACTTCTGGTTCTCACTCTCGTCTAGTCGCCCCCGCTTTCTCGTTCTCCCGGTCGGATGATGGTGGGATGGATGATGAGTTTTCGTAGTAGGAATGAATGGCTCTCCCCTCCTCCTCCATCCCGATCACCCTCTCTGATACTACTGCTGTCTGTTGACGGTCCTGCGCACACTTTCTGGGTCTTGCTGGCTGTCATAATGCTCTCACTGACTGGTGTGCTTGCGTTGCCAAGCGTGTATCCACCACAACTCTTGTCGAGGGGCTAGGCTCCCATGCTCTACTTTCTGATAGCGCTTCTGCTTTGCCCAGCCTGCTTGCACTTCCAGAGTTCTCTTCACCGACGAGACCGCGAGTCATGAGCCTTGTTGTATGTCTTCAGAGCTTCGAATCCGCATGGTTCGGTGCTTAGCAGTTTTTATCCTCACTCTCGTGCTTCATCTGCGTCTTTTATCATCGTGACCTAATCTTCAACATTCATGGATCCTTCGTTTCACGTGCGTTTCCTCTCATCTTTGACCGATATCTCTGTCGCAATGGACGGGGTCCCGATTTTCCCGCGTCTTGGTTGTCGTCAACTTGGACTATATCCCTAAGAATTCGGGGTTTGAATATCGTAATTTGCATATCTGACTCCTCGCGAGGAGCCAGCAACACTTCGACCGAGCTGGCTATGATTAATGGAGGGTCGGAAGCTAGTGAGGGGAATTTTCAGAGAGAGATGACACTGAGGCAATGGCTTGGTAGACCAGGGCGAGTAGTTGATCGAGTTGAGAGCTTGCACATCTTCCGACAAATCCTGGAATTCGTGGATCTGGCCCATGTGCAAGGAGTACTTCTACGCAATATACGACCGTCGTGCTTCATTCTCTCACCTTTCAATCGCGTTGCTTTCATCGATTCTGCCAGCACCCCCTCTAGCTCCGACAGGTCCTCAGAACGCTCCACCGGAAGGGCTTCCGTACAGCAGCTCCTGAGGAATGGCAGCCCCGACGATGATGCTCCGTTTGTGGATCGTTTCGAGTCAATTAGCCATCGGCGTCAAGTACTGGAAAACGTAGATGACGGAGACCCCCGTCCCAATTGGTCTTCTTCTCAGGACAGGGCGCACGGACATGGGAGCGATAATGGATATGGACAGGATCGCGCCACATTAGCGTTTCTTAGGGAAAGTAGTCGGACTGACGAATTCCGGAGTGGGAGCGGCGGGAACGATGTCATCTTGCAGTCCTGGGGAGGATCTAATAGTGCCAGATGGGTGCAGGAATGTAGCGGTAGTTCTGGATCAGAGTTGTCGGGCGACATCAGGGCTAGGATTGTTGCAGGTGTGAATTCTGCTCAGACGCTTGCATCAGGTGGACGTTCCTCTGAAGGTTTCGAGGATGCCGGAAGGGGTAGTGGCACTGAAGAATCTCCCGGTGAAGAGGAAGGCCCACCTCGGGACGAACGATTTCCTCAGAGGCAAGCCTTGCTTATGGAGCAGACATGGTACGCGAGCCCAGAGGAGCTCCTTGGGGGCACCAGGTTGTTCGCGTCTGATATTTACAGTTTGGGAGTAATGTTTTTCGAGGTACAAACTGATTTCCTCTTGGCAGATGAAGCGAACGCACTCTGTGTCCTTGATCCTTTTAGGCATTGGCTAATTGTTGAGCTACTTAGATGAGCAAGTTCTTCTTGTGAGATTGGAGCTGAGGTTGAGTAGTCCAATTATAGTTTTGCCCATACGTTTCTCGGTCCCTAACGTTTAGACACTTCCTAGCAGCTGTTTTGTACCTTCGGTTCTGAAGCGGAGCGAATAAGGGTTATGTCCGACCTCCGACATCGCATCCTTCCACCTCGTCTACTTTCGGAATGCCCCAAAGAGGCCGCGTTTTGCCTCTGGCTGCTTCACCCCGAGCCAAGCTCAAGGCCCAAAGCGAGGTAAGAATTGCCCTGTACATGAAGAGAATGGTGGTAGAAGCTCGCTCTGGAACTATGCTATTTAGTGTTCTGCTTAAAGATTTGTACTTGTAGGTTACAAGCTTATTAGTTTCGTGGTGCTGACAACTTACAGGGAAGTTCTTCAGTGTGAACTGCTGAGTGAAGCCGGTGAAGCATTAGCTGAGAGGCAAGCTGCTGTCAGCGTGGAAGAGAAAGCCGCGGAATCGGATCTTCTGTTGGACTTTTTGCTACGCATGCAGCATCAAAAACAGGAAGCAGTGTGTAAATTAAGTTTAGATGTGTCCAGACTCACATCTGACATAGAGGAAGTTGAGCGGAGGAGATCAGTTCTGAAGCAACGAGGTATTCCATTGAGGATTCCTGAGTCAGGTGATAGGTTTCGAATCGCAGGAATCAAAGAGGATGCATACACAAGAAATTCTTTGTATTCAAAAGGACGCTGGGCAATAGGTTTAGGTGACCAGGAGGAGAGGAAGCCGCCTATATTGGGAAAGCGGTCGCGGGATGATGACGGGAATGCTACGCTTGAGTTTAAAGGAGAAGGTGGTAGGTCGCTAGATGTGCCTTCTAAGCGAAGTGGTGATATCTCCTCGAAAAGTGCTAAGGTGATGAGCAACTTTAGCCAACTCGAGAGGGTGTACTTTTCAATGAGATGGAAAGTCGGGCCACCAAGTCTCGACTCCGGTGGAGTATCATCACCCAACGGAAGTCACACAGGTGGTTCATCAAGCACTGGAGATTTAGGGTGCAACCTTAAAGTAACTGACCAAGAATCTGTTCCAGTAAGAGGGAATTCAGATGACTGGCTTGGATGCTTCTTTGATAGTTTGTGCAAGTATGCTCGCTACAGTAGATTTGAAGTTAAAGCCACTTTAAGACACGGAGACCTTTTGAATACTGCCAATATGGTATGTTCACTTAGTTTTGACCGTGACGAGGAGTATTTTGCAACTGCGGGTGTTTGCAAGCGGATAAAGGTGTTCGAGTGCGATTCCTTGCTGAATGAGAACGTAGATATTCATTACCCGAGGGTGGAGATGACAAGCCGATCAAAACTCAGCAGCATTTGTTGGAATAGCTACATTAAGAGCCATATCGCCTCCAGTGATTATGAAGGCGTTGTACAGGTGTGTAAATCCGCCACAAGGATGATTGAAGTAGAGCAAGCTTTTTCGGGCAAATAGGCAAATTCGTTCTCCCAGACTTCCAGGAACTTCGCAGTTGCAGCAATGTGATATCGTGAAGCAACGCTCTTAAGCTATCCGACTTTGTCACGTCAAACATGTTGTCACATTCAGTGCTAACGGAAGTGTCGAAAACCAGTCAACCCTCTCTGTGTTGATAGCGTGAGACATTATGTCCACTGCGAACACTTTATGTCTACTCACCAGTGGTGCCCGAAGAAGTACAGCCTTTCAGAACCTTAGCGTATCTTCGCCAGTCAATACACGTCTAACTTGCGTTCCCTGCTTAGTGAATCCCCTTGAATGGACATAACTGACTTGTGCTTTTGGTATTTGACTTCAGCTTTGGGACGTCAATGCAAGTAAGCCACTGATGGAGTACCAAGAACATGAGAAGCGAGCTTGGTCCGTCGATTTCTCTCGAGCTGACCCTACTAAACTCGCTAGTGGCAGTGATGATTGCTGTGTCAAGCTTTGGAGCATCAACACGGTAAGCATTATGCTTTTGGAATCGGTAGGCTTCCTTGATTTTCTCGTCCAGAGGTTTGTAGATAATGCGGTCTTGCTTAAGCGCTCCTAGTTGCGCTCTTACTGAAGATGAGGTTTTGGCGTAATGGGCTCTCGAGCTGTGCTTTGCAAGCAGCAGCGTCTAAGAATATGTGAAAGTTTAAATTTTTTTGTTCATTGTGGAAAACTGAGTCTTTAATATTGTTCATGACAGGATTCGAGCATTGCTACTATCAAAACTAGAGCGAATGTTTGCTGTGTTCAGTTTCCACCCGATGCTTCTCATCTCCTCGTGTTTGGATCCGCCGACTACAAGATTTACTGCTACGACCTGAGGAATGCAAAAGCCCCACTTTGTGTGTTGGCAAGTCACAGCAAGGCCGTCAGCTATGTCAAATTTGTCGATTCTGGTACTCTGGTTTCCGCTTCAACAGATAACACACTGAAATTGTGGGACCTCCAAAAGGCTAGCAGTTGTCATGGAGTCGATTCAAGCTGCTCGCTGACATACACTGGACACACGAATGAAAAGGTAGCAACGTGGGCAATAACTCTTGTTGTCGTCGCGTGTGAAATGTGGGAGATTCGATCCCTTGCTTCTCTGAGCCGTACGATAATGTGAACAACGGTTGTTAATTGATTTTTCTGACATTCGATGCCGTACGTGCAGAATTTTGTTGGACTTTCAGTAGCCGACGGCTACATCGCATGTGGCTCTGAGAAGAATGCGGTTAGTGTTTGTCTGACTCTATTTACGCAGTTTTCTCCACTTGTTATCTCTGGGGTTTTGGGTATCTGGTCGCTGGTCAAATGCTTACTTCAGTTTCTTAGTCGCGATTCCAGAGGTCGTTCTTACATTATGAGCCTATTTGTCGTGCAGGTATTTGCATATCATAAGTCACTGCCCATGCCCATGGCTTCTCACAAGTTTGGATGTGCGGATCCAATTACTGGGCAAGAAACTGAAGACGATGGTGGGCAGTTTGTTTCAAGTGTGTGCTGGAGAGGAAAATCTCAAACGCTGGTGGCTGCAAACTCCATGGGAAACATCAAAGTTTTGGAAATGGTGTAGTGCCTACGTATCATCCACAGTAGAGATCATTTACGAGTTTGGTGGCATATGAGGAAGCCGTTGCTAGCTCACTCTCACGGCAAGTGCTCAGCATAGCAGGTTGCTGCGCGCGATTATTTTCCAGGTAGAAGGTGATCTTGACGTGAGAATTTTGGTGCAGTACAGCCTGTAAGTGTCAACGCATAGTGTGGTATGCACGAAAAGATTAAAGGAACACAGAGCTCACTGCTAAGTTAGATGTGGTCGGTGGTAAATTTTCTGCTGGTGGACTAGTTACTAGGTTTGATGCATCCAACATCTGGACTGCGCTCTGTGGTTGTCCACATTTTATTTGGAGCAGTCTACTGTATAAAAGCTGAAGGTTTGGCAAACAGGCAGATCAGAGTATTGTCAGTTTTTCTCGCTCAGCGTCGTATTAATTTTGAACCTAAAATTCATTGTTATTTTTTTGCGCTTACGTGGTTCTTAAATTGTTCTGCACTCTAATCGCTAGTGGCCTAGAGAGATGAAAGAAGTTTGGCCTCAATGTTGGAGCTCATGCGGCAAGACTTTCTGACTTGTCGGTTGAGTTGACAGGTTAACTTGTCCATGTCTGTTGAAGGACGTCTATCGTGTAGATTGGTACTTAGAAGCTTCGTTCTGAAAGGACGCTTCAACTTTGTGAAGATATCGTTTAACGGAAGGAGAACGCGTGTCAAGTGCTGCATTCGAGTTGTTTGGGAAGAACCTCAACAGCGGACCAATGAACTTCTGAACTTTGACTGAAAGGTGCAGCCATGCCTGGATTGTATAGAAACTGGACTTCATGCCATGGACTCAGCCTTCAGTCTTCAAGGAGAGACGGATGGGGAACCAATTGCTGTTGTCACCCCAATAGGTGAATGAAACAGACCTCTGAGGGTGTCATAGTAGCGCGAAGGAAGACTTCGTGAAAGAGGATGGCGATCTGCCCGGAGAGCACAAGATTACGTCTGGAGATGGACTTTTGTGCTTTGCCGCCTCATGTCCATCAAAATGTGTAGCACGACGTGAATTCAATTGATGCGCAATTTGTGTGGAGGTAGGAACTTTGAGGAAGCTTCATTATGCCACTCCGTCCCGGCTCAATTTTTGCAGTAACTTAAATTCTTTTCTCCCGAGAGGGTACTCAGATTATATTTTAGGACATGTGTATGTCGAGTACCCTAGTCATTGCATGTCATGTGGCTTTTACTAATCTGATTCGGAGATGTACATTAGGCGAGGGGCGGTAAACTCGATGCGAAGAAATATTGCAGGTTGATAACATACTGCCATATTTTCTTGCGCCCCCCCTGTTCTGTTGTTCTGTGTTGCATTGTGAGGCAGAGATAAATTCCGTTTCTGCTATATCCTGCAACCTCTCGGATGTTATTATTGGCCCATCATTGCGGCATTTTGGACCATTGAGTCCGACAATTGCACCTAGTTTCCTGGGTAAATTACGTCATTCTTAGTTTGTAAAAGTGTGTAACAGAAGCTTGGGTGTATACTCCATTTGTTCAACTGTCCATGTATTGGATACATCGAAGATGTGTGCCATGCCTATTTCCTAGATATCTGCATCTTATATTTTCCGGTGCCATGCATATATTTAAATGGGTGCATAGCCACATTCTCAAAATGCCCAATCTAAGTTCGAATAAACACCTTGGCGAATCTCTATAATTATAGAATTGGTTTTGACGATAATGATACGGTCTTAATGGAAGTAAGGGAAAAAAACGCCATAAAGTTGTATAACTTCTTGTATCAACTAATTGTAAAAGGTTGATGGGAAGGAAGATTCAAGGTTTGTCTAAATGTTTACACAAGTTTAGCTTCTTTGGGAAGATATGTCATGAAATTATCGATAAAACGTTCACAGAAATCGTGAAGATATATGTGAGGATTTCTGAACACTGGAGCAAAAGTGACGAAGGGAACGACTGTAAAGTCAAGTTTTTCCACAAACTTCGGTAGGTGAATTCAGTTGGTTACCTCTAATTTAGAGTTTTAATGCTAATTGCTCTATTTCTTCAACGACGAAAATTTTATCTTCGCTTAATGGCCGTGTAATAAGTTTTTACTGCTGTATACTAAATAATGTTAAGCGTGATTATTTATGCGCTGTTAACAACGGTGTTTTAGTGACTTTTGATGTTGACAGGTTTATGTTGGACAGAATGTTATTATGTTGTAGTGACCTTTTGATTTTGGACTGCTGTGAGTAGATGTTACTCTATGTCCAAGTAAATACACAGATGGAGATTTGGAAAATTGTGTACATCTCCAGATAAATGTTGGTCTTGATTTGAGTAATCAATATGACTCGCCTGGGTGATTGATATTTTGGAGTATATACCTAGATGGTTTATGCATGTACGGAACATATTATTGGGGTTCAAAATTACAATACAGTTAGTTTGTTTCAGACTCTCAGTTATAACAGATGGACAAGTTTACTTGAATGAGTTCAACTGCGATTTATAAAAAATTACTGTTCGATATTATGCAAATCTTACATAGAGTATATATTATATGAATGATAGAAAATAAGGTATGTTTAAAGAGTTGAGTAGATTAAACTCCATGGACACCAAACAGATTGTAGCTGAGTTTTTATTAAGTTTTACAAATGTTTGATCACAAATTTATGATTTATATGATGATGATTTCTTGAAACTATCGGAAGTGAAGAGTTTTATTCTTCAACTCATTTTATAACTATGTATACAATAAAGTATGATTATTTAGTAAGCATTTCAAAATAACATTTTGAATACTTTTCAAGTATGCACATACATTGATTGACAAGTGTCATGCATGAAAACTTTGACAAGCTGTCCATCAGTTTCATCATTTTATAAAACTGGCATTATTTAAAATGGCAATTATCATTTGAATTTTACGATGAATTACATTTACAAAATTTTGTGTAATTGATGGAATTTGCACAGAAGACTACTGAGACTATATTAACGTACATTAAATTGAAATTACAATGAAACAAGTATATTACTTAATTATCTATGTGATCCATCATGAAAACTAAAATTATATCTTTTATAAGAGCTTAGATTTGAAGATGTTGTTGAAATGTTTGAAAATTTAATAAGTATGATTATTATGCATTAACCATGGAAATAGATGTCGTTAATACAGCAAAGGTTATACAATGATATATATTATATCTTTTAATTTACTATGATAATTATGTACTATAATTCAAAATCACATCTAACAAATATTTAAATATTTTAAACATTATTTTCAATGATAAAGCTATTAACAAAGCGGGAATAGAAGCAAGTCTGTTATTAAATGTTTGTTGTCAAAAGCAAAATCTATCTAAATAAAAATAAAAATAGATAGATTATTTATAAAAAAATCTTCAAACATTGATTTATGATATGAAATTATTAAAAAAATTATCTTCATCTTATAATTAATCCTTTGATAGAAAAAATTTTGAAGATGATTTTATTATTACATGATTTAGATTGAAGATATCAAAGACTAATCATTTGATAGTGATGCATATGTATATATGTGCGTGCAACTTGATCTCTAAGAAAGATAAACATACAATTCTTTTATTTAGTTAGATAGGAAACAAGTATTTTCAAAACATTCATCTGAATTCATTTCAATTTTAAAAGAACTAGCTATTTGGTTATATCTAATTGTACAGGATTTATGTATCTTCAAAAATTCTGTGTTGATATAAATATAATTATTTGTAGGTAAATATATTTAAGGTTTAGGTCATATCTTATCGTAGAGGGATAATATATCTTCAAAAACATCTACAATGATTGGTATAATCTCTTTTAAAAGATTCACTTAAGATTAGGGTTTAGGATTTTATATTAAGTATTGAAGTATAAATAAAATTTTTCTATTTTTAGATAAAAAATCGTATTACATTCACAAACATTAACTCAATGGATTTTTATAGATAATATTGAAGAGTTAGTGTTCATGGATCATGTTCAGTATTTAATCTAAACATCAAAGAATTGAATAACAATACTATTGAATTAAAAAATTTGGGACGATGAAATTTTTATGAACTTTTGAAGATGATATTTAGCTTATTTTATTTATTCTTTCAAAAAATTAAAATTTAAATTCTGGTAGAATTAGGGATATGTGATAAAATATGAAAGTTAAATTTTACATATGTTACCTTCTGTCGTTGGGTTTTGTTCTAAAATTTGGCTATTTTTTTTTTCAAATAAAAAATATGATTTTTATGCTTTAATTATTTAATAAATGGAATAAAAGAAAGGATTTTGAATATATTTGTAAAGTTATAAATTTGACGAGATAATAGATAGAATTATATGAACACGATTCATTCGTTTTCAAACAAGTAGTTTATTTAGATAAATCTTGGATGGTGCGAGTAATAAGATGCAAACCTCAAGCAGGTCAAATTTTCTAGCGGATGATAAAAAATGAGAAAGAGTTGAAGTTTTCTATATGCATGTGTTTGCTTTACTTTCGGTGCTTGGTATGACTCAACTGGTGTTTGGAGGAGCTTTTTGTTTCTTCTTCAATCCATTTCCTTTTTACTCTATGGGTTGCAGTCATTACATATAGCTCAAGGTGGTGGATATAGGTTCAGCACATGGTTGTTAGTCTTGCTTAGGTTGGATGTATATTGAGAACACAGTAGATCCTGTTTAAAGCACACGCGGAATATTCCAAACTTGTCAGACGAAAGTTCACAACTTCAACATATCTACAACTTTACACTGAGTTGAAGTCGTAGAAAGAATATGCAGTTTGAATAAACGGACGGCGTTCTCGTATGTTACATTTCTACTTGTAGTACACTCTACAGCTAAAAGGGAATCGTAAAATTAAAGACGGAGTATACTTTATACTAACTATTGGAAAAGAACCCATTGAAAGAAACAAGGGAAAGAGGAAGAAACAGAAAAAGAACGATAAAATATATTGACACGGAGAGAGGTACTTATTCTCATGAATTAAGGTCATTTCTCTCCTCGCTACAATGTGTGATTGCAAACGAGTGCAACTGTTTCGGGTCAAAAGCGATTAACTTCACGTAAAACTAGAGCCTTCCTAATGAAACAAAGAATAAGTTGCAAATCCCAATTCTACTGCACTCCTAAATTCTATTACAGAACCCACGCATGTAACGTTTAACAAGTGATTGTTGGAATGATACATGCTTTTGCCAGAGAGTAGATAGTGATAGTATTAGGGTCATCCGGAGCACCACTATGGACGGAAAAAGTGATTTTGGGCTAGCGTAGAATCGGCATTCTCTACAAGTTTTTTATTTTGAAACAACAATAGTTGTTATGGATTTTGCAGCTATACGAACAGTCACGTTTGAAGACTCAAAGTACAATGTGGGTAATTGTTCATGATTTTCACTTACAGATGTCCTGTATAAGGCTGCCTTAGTTTTACAATTCTCAAGGCCATGTGCTATGCTAGATGAATCAAAGCTAATGTCTCTATTTCTATCAGACGAATTGGTAAATACCATAACTAGGGTGGCATGGCTAGGATCCACAGCAATGACCAAGGAATTTCTACAACTACCCTGAACAGGATGTATTAGAAAGCCTGGTCGAATCCATCTACTAAATTGCATCATAATATAGTACTGTTTCTTGATCTCTACACAAAAAGAAAGGTTGTAGTCAAATTCTGCGTGCATCAGACCCCAATAGAAGTTTTTTCCAGGGATTTCCAACACCTGCCAATAGCACCAAGCTGATGCTTGAAGCTCATTGACATCCAAGGTTATGTGTTGAGCGACTGCCAGAGCAATATCCAGTTCACTTCCGCGCCAATGAAGAGGTCCGTACTCTGACATCCACAGTTTCTTCTTCAAACCAACAACCATGCGCTGAACCTGTATCAGAGACGATTTTACTTTACTGTCGTTCACTTATTCCAATTGCAAAAATGAGAGAAACATGCAGGAACGATGAAATATGGTGGCTGCCAAAGAGCTAGGAAAGAACTGCAATCGCAATATCGTTCTATCATCGAAGCATTCGAGACGTGAAGTACCTCTTTCCGTCTCGAATCGCCTTCTCTTCGAACAAAGGGAATGTAGGTATGAACGTTTATCTGACTTATGTGTCGAATTGTTTCCTCGTCTAAGCCTCTGAGCACTCTGGCTGTATTAAGGCTCCATGAATCAACTCCACTTATCTCAGTTGATAACCCCTTCCGAACCAGTGACTCCTTCACTTTACGAATAACCTGGGGTCAACAAAATATTCTATGTTAGCATGAAAGCAAGAACCCGTTCAGTTGGTAAAATACCCGGAATTCCAATATTCACCTTTGCTTCTAAAATAAGGAATGAGGTAGACTTCAGAACTTCACACCCCCGTCTTGAAACGTTGGTGTAGCTTCGAATCCTCGCTCACAACCTTGAGACTTGCTGTGGCATCTTCACAGCAAATATCCGGACGTTCACCGGGTCAACTGGAAAAGGGACAGCGGCAGGGTACGGAAAAGACCTTGTTTATAGTCTCGACGGAGAAGTTACACCCTTCTTGGGCTGGCTTCTTCCGGTCTATGTTCCAAAACCCTTCAACCGGCTCATTGAATGGCGCCAGATAATCAAAGTGGATGCCCCATTGAACTTCGTACTGTCGCACCACTTCAGTCAGATAGTCGGCAAATGCATCATAATGCTGAGGATCCAGATTGTCTTGTCCTCTCTTCGAGTTGCCTGTGAACCACAGATGTACAAGGTGTTCAAATAAAGATCTGCATAGGGTTGAAAAGGCTCACATTTCCAGTAGATATCATACCTGTGACCGACCCGCTTAGCGTCATCCAACGAGGTGGAGAGTTTGAGAAGGCTTCAAATACGTCGACACCGCGGGTTTTGGCCCCGAGAAGGACTTTTCTCTGCCTCTCATCAGCTGACCAGTCGTACTCTCCATCGGCCGACGACAGAAATCCAGGAATGTCGGCGAATGGCCTCAAGTTTCTATCGACAGACATGTCCGTTCCTCCTCCAATATTGTAACGGGCTATATTCAAACCTAGACCGTTTTGTGGATCAAAAAGGAGATCGAGGACAAAATCCATGTCACTCGGGCGTAGACCCCCAACGAAGTTTGCCCACCTGTATTTGGACACGATATATTGTTATTCGGTGACTTTTTTATAACAAAACTAAGGGATCCAATAATAAGTTCCTCACTTTGGCGACATATTCAGTTTTCAACTTAGGAAGCTTGCTCGAATAAACCGACGACACGGAACTAGGACATTACCAGCACAGTGATGTACCCCAACCCTCCCACACGAAGCTGGTTCCAACGGGCTCTCTGCTTAAGTCCAAAAACTCCTCCTGCGTGCCAATACAAAAATTATCTCAGACACTTGCACGTGCGGGATGATCGCAATTCCAGAGTGCGAAGGCAGAGCGGCACATTCTGATTCTGTTCCACTAAGCTTCTAGCAAGGCAATCAATAAGTCATAAGAGCATATGTGTCACTTAGAACGGTTAAATTTTCCCGGTTTCCTAGTGAGACTCGAACCTCGACAGGAAGCATGGGCCAGAAATTGAACACTCCAGCAGCTGCGCGCTGTATCTCCGTCAGCCAGTCACCCGGAGAAGTACCGTTCATGTCGAAATTGACCACCGGTTCTTCAACCTTATTCTGCTTGGGCAGCATCTTGTTTCCCAGGGAGGCACAAACATATCGGTCGAAAGATCTGCAAACAATGTGGGTTTGTTCCACAACTCTCCCATATACCAGTCTCTTTCCCAGCTTTTCAGCGGGTTGTCCGTTCACACACCTCGTTGTGCACTCACTCTTGTTGATTCTAAGGCCACAGTCGCGCAGATGCTCCCTATCCTCGATTAATTTCGAACACTTCAATTCTCTACTCTCTTCGTCATCGTACTGATATGCATTCAGGTCCCAGTCTTCATTATGTATACAACTGAACTCTGACCTCAGGAACCCAGCGGTAGTCAGAGGTAGTGTGGAACATTGTATCGCCTGATTCATAACGCTTATGAATATGATGAGTATTACAATAAATACGTGATGACTATCTCACGTGTGCGGGCGACGCCTCTAACGCGCTTCTGTGATACGAACAAAGAAAGCAGCGAATTCTGCCCACAAATCCTGAAAAATTGCCGGGGCACGAACACGGTGACAGTTCGATACAAGCCAAAGGAGATCGAAGTGCGCCTGTACCGAGAATCCGCTCGCAACTTCGGAACGAGGTTTTATGCACCGTTGGAGCAGATGTATAACGTTGAATGAGTAGTAGACACTCGTGGGCTCTGCAAAGTTCAGAGGATCTACCACGTGGACGCCTACGTCGATGACACGAGAGACCTCTGTTAGGCTCTCGCATGGGAGCCACCTGACATCCATCCGGCGAGATCGCCCACACGATTGATTGGCATGCCAGCGCGCAACAAAGGCGGTGAAACCTCCACTCTCCCAGTCTCTTCGACCGAATATCTCGCTCCATTCTGCCATCAGGCGAGAACAGATATTCCTATGAATTGAAAGAACTGCCTGCCGTTGAACATGAATGACCCTGGTCATAATCGGAGCTGATGGCAGCTGGTGTTGGTTAGATGAGTGGGGATTTGCACGATGTGTACCTGGAGGCCAACAGTTGTGGGCACTGTCAGATTAATACTAAGTGGTGCCGAATCCGACGTCCGTCTCGGCGCACCACCAGAATTTGAGTGTCAGTAGTAGCTTCAAAGCCACTACGCTGGCCAATGTGGTTTGATTGCTTTGGGTAGCTACTGGCCCAAATGTGTTCCTGCTTGCTCGAACTTAATATATAACATCTCAAGTGAATGTTATATGTTGTTCTCAATGCCAGGTGCCAGTGGATACAGACTGGAGGATCTCGTTCAGACTCGATAGGAAACGACGGCTCACTTGCTACGAATCCACCATCTGCGGTAGTGTGCTGTGTCTCTTGACAAAACTTGCTTGAAATTAGCCAACCTGAGCGTGAACCAGAACTCCTGCCCTCCTCCAGAAGCAAATCGACGAGTCCATTAAAACAGTCTCCTACCAGATCCTACTCCTTACCATATAGAGTGATTTTGAAGAGCAAGTTGGAAATCTCCAGGCAGTTCCCAAGATTTTTGTGTACCTAGTCAATCGTAGTTGCAAATCAATACCATTCCTGGCGATTCTCACACGATCATTTTTCCAAAGGGGGCCATGCCGATCTCCTTGTACTTATCTTTCGAACTTCAATGCATGGTTTACAGTAGCATTTGAAATTGAAATCTAAATTACATGGTGACCTGCACATAGGACTGGCTCGTCATGTCGTCTGATTAACTGGACTTGGCGCGTAGGAAAGATATGGAAAGCTGAGAGCATGAACGATTGGAAAAGCGGAAGATCTCAACTGACAGCGGTTTGACTCCGTTGTCAGTTGACATATATTCCTTTTAACAACATCCCAGATGCACCTTTTGTCAACAAGCAATCATGTAAGAGGAAGTGATCATTTAATCTGCTTCAACGAGTTTCTGATTAGGTCGCTTTTTTTAAATCGCGTGTTATCTGCAAATCATCTCGGATCTAAGATCCTCGTAGTCTTGTGAAGAGACAAATGAGGGCGAGCAAGGAGATTCTGCACCTCTATTACGGTACCGTGCGTGGATTGTCAACTTAAGACGCAATGGCATGAAAGTCGTATTTGCAAATTTAAGGGAAGCTCTGCTGCCGGTGATATCAGCATATTCTATTGCGTTGTTCAAAGTTGTTGTGTAAAGGCGTCACCACCAGAGAAGTGGCAGGCTTACAGGATGGAGGAAAAACCCCAGGCGGAACACCATCCATGGTTGAGTTTCTGCTCAGGAGCAGGTTTGAAGCTGGCAGGTTCAGTTGGAAATGAAAGGGATCCGTTAGACGTGTATGACCGCTCATTGGCTAATTGGGGTGAACTGAAATTAGCTCCACTGCAAACTGAAGGCTGCAGATCGTTCTGCTTCCAGTCAAAATAGGTAGGCAAGTGGCAGATGAGACTGAAAGGGAATGATGACTTTTGACAGCCTGAGACGGGAAGTAACGACCAATGTAGTCTGATTGCCTTGTCGGGGTTCAGATACACGTGGCTGGGAAGACCTGGCCCTGCGGCAGGCGTGCACAAATTCAGTGTAATCAGGTCTGACTAGTAAGCCGATGAATAACAAATTCAGCTGAGCGATCTCGCGAGTAGTGGAGCAAGGAAGTATGTTGTAACTGCATAGCACTCCTGGTGTCACAGCAGCAAGGTAAATGTTGTTCGTCATCTCTCGAGTCTTCGCTAAGCATTGGAGGATTGCGGGCGTAAAGGTAACGGAGGTTCGAAACTGCCGATGTCAAACGCTCCACCATGAGTTGTTGTTAGGAAATCGAGGAGTTATCGTATTTCTGTGAGGGAACTTGATTTGAACAAACTTGGCCGCGTTTTACCACAGCGCGAGTGCTTCGTAAGGGCGATGAAGTCACGATGCAGACAAAACCAAAAGCAAGGCCACGAAATTATGATGACTTAGCTCAGTAAAAAGAGAAGGAATGGTTGCTGAGGACTGGCATGGACAGTGCTAGACACCCACATGCTGTGTGGCAATGCACCTATCTAGCAAGTAGCCAGCCATATTAGTGCTCTGTTGCGTGACACAAACATCTGTTTCGGCTGTTGGGCCCTGACTAAATTCTCGTTCCCTCTCCTCTGCAGAGATTTGGAAGCTTTGAGACATCAACTCGACTGCCACGCTGAACTAGTTAACAGCAACTGGATAAGGATTGAACCTTTGTCTTGTGCACAAACCATATTTCTTACTGTAAGTTGGGGAGTGAGGGGAAATCCGGTGACGATGATGGGAATATGCCCTGTCGAATGAAGTTCACCATCATTACTGGCAAGTGCGCAAATCCGAGGGATGAAACTTTCGGAGCTCGTAGCTGACCATACAGTCTCACCGCTGTACCCATAATGTAGCTAGATGCGCGAGAGAACTTAAATCTAAACGGGTAATTTGGGTTGTGACAATCCAGGTCCATCATCTGTTGCTTTGTCTTGTAGCATGATTGACTCGTGCCAATCGGGAGGCTCAAGAGCAGGTACTGTGCAAGCTACCAAAAACAGGCCAAAACAGCATGGCATGCATTGAGAGATCCAATTGAACGAATAATGAATGAACGGCCGCCATACACAGCTACTGCCAGACGGGTGGGTAGTGCAGTACCGTACTGCCATTTATTAACGCGCATTTTACCCGACGCTTCAGGTGAGCCGAGCAGACTTTCGATTTTGGTCGCGTACTTCACGGATTCCCCCCTTTCTCCTTGGCCTGCTTTAGATTGGAATGACTTGCGTTAGGTGTGCACCACGAACTTTGGATTTAAATCACTTGCAAGATTCTGGTGGGTACTCTTCAGAGTTCATCGTCAAAATCAGTATCCTCTCCTTCAGTTCAAAGAAACTCAATTTTCGACGTGTGTAACGTCATTAAGAAGCGAATTTCTTCGCATTTGATGCAACTTTTAACACACCTTAACCCGACAAAGAGCCCAGCCTTCTAAGCTTCCGACTTCGAAGCCCATTGTCTCTCATTTCTTCCCTCATGATGAATATCACGGCCTTTGCTGTCAGTACACTTTACTTCAAGAGAGATATTTCGTCACTTCATAGGGAATTTATGAACAATATACTCAAAATCTGAACCCTTTTCACTGCATCTACAATCCGGCATGAGTGGCCTAAATCTCTCGGTACAATAGCTGGCATTCTATGGATTGCAGAAACTAAAGATCAAGTAGTTGAATCAAAGCAAAGTACTTCTACATAAACCGGATTCCGGAGACACTGCAAATGGAGCAGGGATCATGAACGTCCGTTACACTACCAAAGGGTGAAGCAATTAGGACACATATGCTAAACAAGGCCGACACAAAGTCAAGACGTCTGTCACTGAAGGGCTGGGCCCACTAAAGTAGAAACCCACCCGCCAACTAACCAAGAGTGAACAAAATGTGAAGATATCGTAGCTGAGCTAAGGTGGCGCTGATGCTGTTGATCAGTGGCGTGATCACATAATCAACAAACTCCGGTTTCGCCAGAACTCGTCCTAATTTCCTCGTTCCTTGATGCTCCTCTCTCGTCCATATATAGCCTGTCTTCTGCATTCCAATCCGTCAGACCCAACGGTCTCATGGTGCTCATGAACCCAGACGCCGATATCTCACCAACTAACTAACTCTTCACATAATAAGCGCTGCATAGATCATGGCGCAAGCACATTGGCTGACTATGAAAATCGCGAAGACTGACGACCTGTACACTTTAGCCATATACACCCGCGTGCTGAACAGAAACATAAGAAATACCCTGCAGTATACTTCTTACCTACGGCAAAGCTCACTTTAGAAAGGAATCATGTTTTAGAACAGGCGGATGAAGAAGCTAATATTTCCAAATCACGATTTATTTAACTGTTTCGGGTGATGACGGTTTGAGACGCCTGCTCTTCTTTAGGTCTTCAAAGACACGTTCCAGCCTCTGTAACTATCATTATCTACTTCTCAAATATATGAGAAGTTTGTACCATTAATACTTTCCTCCATCGATTTCTTATGTACATGCCTTCAAAATACTCTTTCAAGAGAATCGTATTCAAGTCTTCCTCAATTCATTTTACTTCTTCACTTTTTTGATATCTTGAACTTTCTTAGCGTAGTGCCTGGTTCCCGACGGATTTCTTTTGAGTAAAATATACAGTCTGAATTGAGGAAACTATACATGAGTGAAAATCAATAAATTTCTAGTTAAAGTTAATTTTTTCTCAGCATGTTTTAAAAGTCATATATCTAAGGTGAGATGGATAATCAAACACAATATATAAACGACAAGAAATTGATACGAAAGAAATATTTTACGACTTTTTTCAATAAATGTGAATGATAACGTTCCTAAACAATGCAAGGCTAACGCATCAGTTGCAAACACTCGATTCTTTCCTAACATGATTGAGTCCATTCAGTCAGCATATGCTCTGTTCAAAACATTCGATTGTGCTCCATACAACAAAACACGCCTGTAAGCCAGGTCTGGTATTTTGTACAAACTATTGTCTTGTGTGTTTTGCAAAGAACCTTTCATCAATGTTTTTATAAGTCTATTTCAATCAACCCATATAGTGGGAGTTCACGTACATAGAGTGGTTGGTAATTCATGTACTATCCAATCCTCAGGCTTATGTTGTTCTTGCTACAAGGTAGACTTGATGGAAGATATTTTTTATGATAGATGATTGGTTAGATGCAGCTATTGTCCATAATTTTATACTCGCATATCTTAAAGTTAGTGGAAAGAGGGATTTTCGAGAAGTTCCTGTAATTTCCATATCTTAGACTGCTTCATAAACCAAAGGACACATACAAGTGAATGGGAGAGGGATGATGCTCATGATTACCGACATAAACTTGTTGTGCTCCTCTGTGTACATTCGGATTAATATCTCAAGTAATCGTATGCTATTTCTTTCTTAAACCTTTGATCTGCACATGGCATTGTCATGTATGGAAAACATGAAAAAAACGAATTTTAACTTCTTACAGTTCTCTGTGTTCATGTACTTCAGATAAGCACAAAGGGGAAATGTAAATGAACAAGACCAGACTGCAGTTATACCGGACCGGGAAATGTGCTCCTGCCCCGCTGAATATGCACAATTTAGCATGCCTGGTACATTGGCCGTTGTGTGAGGACGAATCAAAAGGACATGTCGCTTGCAATGATGACCCTGTTCATCTTCAAGAATCTAGATAGACATACAGTGTGCCGGTGCAGGTGCTTGCATTGCCGGAGAGAGAATAGTAAAAGCCAGGTTAATAAACCCAAAATTGTTCGGCAATGTTTAGGACACCGGTGGAAACGCTCCTATGTAATATATATATATATATATATATAGTGGATGGATTTAGGTTGTTGGTTGGTTCATGAGAAGGATTTATATCTCGTGTTCTGCAAACCGTTCGAATGTTCATACTGATTATCAACTATGTTGCACATTGAAGTGGTTGAATCGAAGTTATATGAATGAGAACAACGATAGTTATAGCATCGAAAGAACCCTGGTTCTTGAGATTCATCCTTTTTCCTAGAATAACATTATGCTGCAGAACCACTGGATACGGCCTGCTTCGAAGCCCGTCGCTAGAGAGGTTGAGAAGAATGTAGTCACTGGTTTTGGTTTTGCCGTTGCCTCAATTATTCCTGATTCAGCCAACTCTCATCAACACTTAAATTGATGTGTTTATTTTAGTTCCTTCAGTGTGGTAGTTTCTGATGACTTAGCAACATTTACAGCACAGTCAAATAATGAGAGGGGAATGTATCTGTTCTGCTTTCGCCAGCTCAGGTTATTATTTTCCTCTTTTTTGCGGCTTGATGAGCAATCCTATCGTATTGGAAGCCCATGTCCGTTCGTTCTGAGGCCCTACTTTGTCCGTATCTGTAGGACAGAAACTGATGGCATTGTGAGCAGTTCGCCACCAGACCTGTGACTGTCCGAAACTCAAAGCCAAGATTAGTAGTTCCCGGGATATGGTGCCAGCAATTGGGAAAGATCACAGTCGCGAAAATGGTGAAAAACGGCATAAGGTTTGGCGATCGCTAATGTGGTTATAAAGGAGTTGGAGAAGTAGTGAGGACGGAGACTTTGAAGGAAAAACCCAAAAGAAGCCGCCGATCCCTCTAGGGAGAGAAGGCTTCATTCGTCATGCTGAATTGGTTGTGGTGATGAAGGACACTCCTATACTAACTCCAGCACTTTCCTGTACCTACGATCCTTCGTTCGTGCCGCTTCCGTCTCTCACTGCAATATAAGGCTTCATCATTCTGAGATGGGCCAGCTTCAAGTTCTTTCCATCTCTCTTGCTTTACTCAAGGAGATCACATACCCCTGCTTCTATTTCACATAGTATATCTTGTTGTGCGTGGGTGCGCAAGATCTACATAGCCACAATTTGCGCATTTTGTCCTCCAACTCAGACTGAGGTTTCGTTCTCTGCGTCTCTATTGATATTGGTCGACCTGCAGCGATGACTCTCATGAAGCAAGGTATGCAGGTCGAGGTGGAGTTGCGCGTCCCACTACAAAAGCTGTGGGAAGCACTGAAGAATCTGAACCTACTGGCTTCAAAGATCGCTCCCAACTTGACTCATCAGATTCTTGAGGGTGATGGTGGCGTGGGAACTGTGAATCTGATACAGTTTGGTGACGGTATGATCTCATCCCTGAGCAATTCCTTTAATGTCGAGAGGCTCATCTTTTGAATGAGTATACGGTCTCTTCCATCCTTCACGTTACACACCGCGCTGGTATTGCATGGAGTTAACTGGATTCAGTGCTGCAGTTATATTGGTACTGGATGTAGAGTTTTTTGGTGGAAACGTCAGTTGCTACTAGAGCTACGTTCAAGTTCACCTTTCATATTCGATCCAATAAGGAGCAATACGTCCAGAAAATTTATTACTACTTCAAGTTTCTCACATACAGTGAATCATGATTCTTCTCAGGCTATTTAGGCACACAGAGACTTTCAAATTAGAAAAGACTTGAAGCTAACTTCTCGCCCTTTTGGTCGAGACTCATACTTGAATGACACGATTCAACTGTCGGTTGTTCGGTGTTTCCAATTGACCACTCGGCCGCAGTGACAGTGATGTTCAGACTCATGCGTTTTTGACGAATTCGGGACGTCCCGCTCTTGAAAATATGCTCAGATGAACAAATTGGAAATTAGCTTTTAATTGTAATGGTGCCTGGACTAGAGCAGCAAATATGTTTAGAGGTTGCCATAGATCAATAGCAAGCTTCTTACATACGACCTTACAAATGTAGAAGGAAATTGCTCTGTCGAACTTTGAGTCCAACATTATACCGTCCGACCTTCAGGATTATCCTGAGAATGTGTCAGAATGCCTAGTCTGGGACAAAAGCAGCCAACTATACCAAACTCAGCAGACATGTACGACGAATGGAAGTCTGAGTGATCTTCTTGCTACATCTGGTTAGTGCTGCTCATCGTCATAGCATCAGTTTAAACACCCGGTAGTCTTCATGCTTGTTATACAAAACTTTCTTCCTGCGCCACTTCTGCCTCCGAAGGGTTCGTACTTCAGCTGTTAGAAAGCTCTCTCTCAGTGCGAGTAGCACAATGTCGATGCCCGCTGATGACAGCCCAAAATGATTTCCCATCTCCTTATGATTTCTTAAATCCAATGGGAGGGAAGGTAAGTTCCGTAGAACCAAAAGGCAGTCCTACACTCACAGACATTGCAATTTTTGGTAGATGGCCTCGGTTTTTACTCTTTCCACGCAACAAGTAGAAGTACTAATCACGAGCGAGGCTCAGCACGTATAACGTGGCACATTATGAGAGTCCTGATCTGAGAGACAATAATCTGCTGGCAGGAAGGTACGAGAAGGAGCTGGTGGACATGATCGATGAAAGAACCCACACGCTGGTTGCAACTGTGATGACGGGAGGGATGGACGTCAAGTATAATCAATACAAGAAAACGGTAGCTCTGTCTCCAGCTCGCAACGGTGCCACAACTATCGCATGCTGGCGTGCAGAGTACGCCCCCGTCGCGGAGTCTACTCCTTCCGGGTTGTCACGAGATAACGCACTCTCTTTTTTCAAAGCGCTGGAGTCATTTCTCAACACAACGAGGAATCCTTACGCTTAGACTTGTAATTTGTTCTCCAGCTATCATGACACTAGTGTCTCACATTCGTGGCGCTGAATCGATTTGGAAAGTGGATGTCACGACGGCGAATACTCCTACTATTCACAAGCGTTTACTGATATATGTACCATTTTCCACAGATTGTACAATATATACTACACCGTGTCTCACGGTGGGTTATTAAACCTCCTGTCGACCGTACAGTATGGATCCTGAAATTATTTTGGTTGACTCTGACACCGATGAGTAACTGTGATAAAGCGGGTCACACGATGGCTGATGGGAGAACCATGTGTTGGTGAAATTGAAACCTTTTATCTGTATCTGTCTGTTCTTTGAGCGTATTTCGCTGCAACTGCAATAATTGTGCACCCTTGAACCGAAAGATTGGACCCTTCTTGAGTTCGATATAAACTTTGCACTGCGATGGATGATACTGAGACAAGCGCAGAAAAGCACACGATACACGTGAATCATATAGGATGATACTGACACCGTTGTATAACTGCGATAAAGCCGATCACACAACGGCTGCTGGGAGAAACATATGTGATTGATATTAAAACATTCTATTTGTATCGGTCAAGTTCTTTGGCGCTAAATGCTTCTTTCACTACAACGAGACAACTCGTGCACCCTTGAACAGAAAACCGTTTGGACCCATCTTGATCTTGATATAAACTATACACTTCTATAGATGGTACTGAAACAAGCACAGACAAGCATACAATACACGTCAATTGTATAACCAACATGGGAATCAAAAACATGTGCTCAGATGAATTGGCTATACACGTTGATCTCTTTTCATCTAATTGAATATGTTTGCAATAAGTGGAGACACTGGCATCCTGTAAAAAGGACACACAAGCAAAGTCATATGGCTCTCACAATAACTAGTAATTGATCTACATAATAAGAGAAGAGAAATATCTGACTATAAAGTATGGTTCAAGTTCTTTCCGCTTCATGCTAAAATCACTATAACTTTACAACTATCACATTATCCATAATGTAAAAGCAAGGGGACCGAGAACGTCATGGAGCGAGGAGAAACGTCTCACGGTGCAGAAAACGAGAAGAAAACAGTGGCAACTGTATAGAAACGAATAGTTGGAAACATGCGGATAAAAACAAACTGTCAAAAGACGATTGAAAATGTGTAGAAAAAAAATGCAAATGAGAAAAGTCGGAGAAAATACCAAGGATTTAAAGGTTTCACCGCAAACAATTTAATCAAAGATTAAAACCACATGAAGTTGGCATGATAGCGTTAACAGGAAACATGATCGCTACATGACCTCTAAACTAGATAGTCATAGAGACATCTAGAATTGTGGACGTTGTAAGTCAGCTGAACATTATCACAAATTTTAGCATTCATTAAGCAAACACTCCTTGCAAGAAGGCGCAGTAATACACATTCGTGGGTCCGATTGGACTGGATAAAATATTATGAAAACTGCTGTGCTTCTGGCAGGTCAAGGTCCATTTGTGACAGCAGCATTGTCGAATCTGGAGCTTTCGCGCGGAACGAGAGGGCTTAATGGGCACAAATGGCCGAATCTATTGTGCTTAGAATGCGAACAATGATCAAGATAAAACGAGGACTAAGATGGAATTTGAGGTGGCATTATCAGAAATCCACCCAAAACGAATCATTCAGATGCTGCATACGTCCTGCACCATCAGCACAGACCAACTGATTTAGATCTATTAGGCCAACCGCAGTAAGGTCTTCGGCAGGAAAGAAAAAAACTGTGAAAAGTAAAACCATCTCAAATTATTCACTTGGATAGTAATAGGTATGGACAGCCCTTAAAACGTTACATACGATGTAACGCAGTAAGCAAGCTCAACATAACTAATCATAAATTCTTATTATGTATCTCAAACAGGAGATTAGAATAATGCGGTCTGTCACCTTCACCATGAAGAATCAGTTGACTCAACTCAACAGTAGTATAGCATATATCAGAGATATATGCTATACTACTGTGTCACCAACTTCCCAGCAACAATCGCACTACATACAATAGCTCCGAACCATTTGTTCGACACAAACCTGTCGAACAACGAGACAAAGTTAGGCACAAAATCAATTGCGCAGTTTTATTCAAGGACAAAGTACCCTTCCGAAGGTTTTTCACCCGCACAGAAACAGGCTAGGCAGGTAGCAGAAGTCCAACCATTTCTCCTTTTCTGCTGGATAGCTAATTGATGAATCAGCTGAGAAGTTTAGGGCTTAGATTGTACCTAAGCTACTTGGAACAAGAACCGCACTTACTTGGAATTGCAATCAGCACGACTATGTATGTCCACAGACGAAACCTGCCACGCCAAGTGACCAGCTGATGCTATCACACCAGCGTAAAATGGCCATCCTGCAAGACATGAGAATATCCAGTAGACCTTATTTTGTGAATCCAGCAAACATGGCCTGTACTCGCTGCACTCTAAAATAATTTGTTTGGTCCCAAAGGGTTTGCGTCGTTTAAGTTTAGCAGAAAAGTTAGAAAAAATAACTACCGAGATCTGCATTGAAACCGGCTAAAGCTAGGCCACTGACACAGACAGCACTGAACCCGGCCAACCAAGTCTTCGTGCTGTCACCAAATCGCAGAGCGGTTGAGAGAACTCCGACCTTCAAATCATCCTCTTTATCCTGAAAAATTACCAAGTTTGCCTCAGATCAACCAACGACCCCCTTGTGGTAAAGTAGTTCTTAAAATATTTCTTCATATATTTCTTGAAATATTTTGAAGTTCGATGAGGGAGATTCGGTCTCTGTACCTGATGGGCATATATTGTATCATAAACAAGAGTCCAGCTAATCCCGGAGGCGTAGAGAGGGAGGATCACAGATGGATCAAGGCCACCATGGACAGCTGCCCAGCCAAGCAGAGCACCCCAGTTGAATGTTAAACCTAAAAATGCCTGTGGCTGCCAGAGAGAAAGCAAGGCCTCAGTATGTGATCAAGTATGTGAACAATTCCCATAAACGTGTCGTCAGCGGGCCAGGTGACTGCGGGCATCACCGTCTCTATATCAAGAGACTTGCTAAGCACATAACAATATTAGACCAGATAATCAAGGCCTATCATCTTTGAGTGACCAGCATCATCCTTAAATTGTCCTGTTTGAAATCCCACGACACTGATGAAACCTTGTTTTTTTGGCCTTCTTCCGTTTCAAATTCAAAGCTTGATTAGGATCGAAGGAGTTCAACTTACCCAGAATGTCCATCTTTTCATCAAGGGATAAGTGCCCACAAGTAAAAGCGACGATGCTCCTAAGATTCGGCTGCAGGTTACGGACGTAAAACTTAGGATTTCTACATCAATATCCATTTGAAGTCTTATATCAAATATAAACAAGACAGGGTACAGGAATCCTATTTGATGTATGAAACCATTACCTGAAATCATCAAGATGAGATACTAACCTGAAGTCGTTAAGCTGAAGGAGAACCCCAAGTCCCAACAAAAGTTGACATCCCAGGAAGCCAACTCCTTGATAGGTTGTTAAAGCGCCTGAGGCAAGGGGTCGATCTCGTGTCCTTTCAACCTACGCAGCAACACATGCTGTAACATGGAGTTTATACTCCGGTTATGAGGACCGGGTTCTCATCATAATCAAAATAAATTTCATGATACCACTTCGTATGCAAACTTCCAAGCCACAGATCTCGTTCAATACCATAACAGAAATAGCAGTTTACATTTACAGTTCGCTCTTATTTAGGAGTAAAAAGTAAGCGATGAAAGCTGAAGCCAGCTCGAGAGGCCGCGACAGTGTTACCTTTCCGTCAATATCACTGTCCAACAAGTCATTCACCGTGCAACCCGCACCTCTCAGAAGAATAGCACCCAATCCAAACAAACTCATCAGCTTCAGATCTGGAAAACTGCCTGCAGGTGCTGCCAAACAGATCGACCTACAGAAACAAACGCACAATATTTTACAGGCAAACAGACAACATACCGCTCGCATGACTGTAATAAATAGCATTGCATGTGGCGACCTGAAGCCTAAGCGCGTACACAATTTATCAAGAAACATTAAGAAATCACCTAAGCAAAGAACCAAGACCATCCTAAGAGAAGGAGCAAATTTATGAGTAGCATAGCTATTCATAACATGCACAAGGATCATCAACCGGATGTGTTGGACTAGAAAATACGGAAAGAAATCGGGAGTACTTTGTATGTGCTAAAGCTATGGAACACGCAAGGAAAAGAGAAATATGCCAGTGACAGTTACTAAGCCACAAGCCAGACATTTTGTCAGAACAGATGTTCAGAGTCAAACTGGATTCTATAGAGATAGGTGCCGACCCAGGGACATTTTTCTGTGTAATGCAAAGTTCTCACCAAAAGCAAGGCCACGCAAGGAGCCAAGTGCCAATAGGTCTGTCCAAGCGTGCTAAGTGAGCAAAAGGGTGTAACTTCTTCGGTAGAAGAATCTGTATCCAATCTGTCTCCTTTAAGCGGGCTGACCTCACAGGTACAATTTTATCCTGCTCATCTTGGTCAAATTCTTTTTCGGGTTCGGAGCCACTACTGTCAACTGCTATTGAAAAGTGAAGTCTATCAAAACAGCCTTTCGACGCAAGACTGCTCGAAGGTTGTGCGGCGTAGCCAGATGAGATGAATACAGGACTACTGGAAAATGGAACCTCGTTCGGACAGAGCTGTGAATCGCTCTTCGAGAAAGAATTGTAGCCGCCATGGAGCAAGTTAATATAATGCTCGATGTTGAAACCCCTGTAAGAACTCTTAAATTCAGCATCCGGGCCCTTGAGGGATTTTGTAAGACTTGGAAAACCGAAAACATCAGGCTTCGAGAAGTGGGGCTCCGCGGTAGCAAAGCTCCTTAAGACTTCATGCGATGAGGTCTCATCTGTGCACCAAAACCTGTTCCTCGCGATCTGTAAGCTTGGATGCCAAATCTGACGTCGCTGAGTGACATCAATATAGAAAATATTAGTTCTGAACGTCACATATGTAATCGACCGACTCTAACGCGCCAACACCTCGTAATGGCGAAAGGAGTTAGAGTCCTTACGGCGTTTGCAGAGGTACGGCGAAGAGTTGTCCGCAGAGCCATTAGTTAAACCAGCAGACGGCAACTAAAATGGAATGAACTCCTGTAAGCAATACCCCAGTCTCAAGTCCGATGCAACTCCAGTGACCAGCTTGTAAAACCCTCGACATGACAATGTATGCAACACCGAGATCTGCAACTAAATTCCCATCAAAAAATGGTACAATTCATCTGTCCGTGTGCGTGCATGAGGAAACTGGTTGCGGTTTCCACTTCGGAGCCGTACATTTTGGAAAAGATTTCGCTAGATTCTGAACAGAGTCGATTGCTCACAATTTTTGCTATGCATTGGCATAACTCAGCGTGAGCTTGAGAGTTCAGCAATGAGACGCGTCAGAAGCGCATTGTCTTCACTCGGCTATTGGTTTTCCTCCATGCTTCTCACATTTTTAAATCAACTCGCGCAAACCATACTTACTGGAAAATTCCAGAAATAAACAATGACAAACTCACAGCTTCGCAATGAATTAGCTTGCACAGCACCTTGTTAATAATGTGACCAAAGGTAAGAAAGAACAGGTGAGAAAGCAGTCAAGATGGCAATCGAACCCCGACAGCTCAGGAAAGCTGAAGGAGGCAAATTAGTGACAAGCTTGTGTACCGTTCCCGCTCTTCTTCTTCTTTATCTTCCCGTGTAAGATGCTCGATCAATCTAGCATTAAAAAAAACTCGCACCGTGGCCTTCGATGACAAACTATTAAAAAGTGTGGTTTGAGGCCAACAAATACATGAAACAGATATGTCTTATCATCTTATCATAAAGTAAGATATCCAAGTTCACCAACCGGATTCAAAGTAATGATCATGATGTGAAGTATATTACTGATCGCAGATGACACATCCAGTACATCTGATGGGATTACTACGTAGTTTGTTCAATCCAAATCAGTGCCTGATAAGGCTGCATATCATTTACATATATATAGTTCAGTGCATTTTGCCACAGTTTTTGGAACCTGATGTGATTAATCCTCCTTGTGACCCCGCGGCAACACCTTCCGATTCACTGGTTTCGTTCCTGACTAAATTGCAAAGATTGCTCCCATCAATGACTCAAATCACAAGATGTTAGAATGTTAATTTAGACTACACTCCTTGCATCAAATTATGTGTGAATCTGCAGCAGTGACACCATTAAAATCATAGAGCATCAGTAACAAATATCATGCACATAGTAAGTCAGCAAAAGAATACATATTTAACAAATTTTCAATTCAAAAAAATGCATCTAAAGAGCATTTTATAATATCACAATTTAATTTTAAGAATTTTGATTTCAAATTTAATAAATTTATAAAAATGAAAATGTTATAATTGTTTTGCTTGTTTTGATTCTTTATATAACATAATTTAATCAACAAATTTATATATTTTGAAACTTTTACGTGATATTGAAATAATTTTACAAATCTTTTAATCAAGTTTGGAGCAAATCTTGGGCCAATTTAAGTGTCATAATATATAAAAAAAATTTCATGATTTGAGTAAGAGATACTTCGTATATTATCACCGTATAATATATGTGATCAAACTAAGATTGCTGAATAATCTGCAATCTAATTTTAATTTTGGCTATTACTTCTCGTCTAAAGAAAAAAAATTGAGCTCTGAATAATATAGTTTGTTAATTTTTCACTTGATTCTAATTTGATGTACTTAAAAAACTATTCAGCTTGATCTAAATTGCAAAAACTAACACTATTTTTACATGCAAAATTTAAATTTGAAATTTTAAAACAAATATACACTTATCAAATATACAAACTTATTCTTCTCTATTATTTAAATCTAGCTTAAATGTGACTAACTTTGTTATAAATATAATTGTTTGGACATAATTTTTTTTAAAACAAGTTCTTAGATTGATAAATCAGATTCATGATTAAGTTTTTACTTGTATCATATTTATATTTTCTGCATGAAAATACAATTAATAAAATTTTGAAGCTATTATTATTTTTTTGATTTATGTAATGTGAATCTATTTACAAATTTAGTCTACAAATATCACAATTAAATTTATTTTTTGAATAGGTTTTTGATCGCTTTCATAAAAGACTGATCAGGACAAGCTTTTATTGTTATAAAAAATTCAAAGATATTATAAAAATTCAACTGGTTTTTTTACTTGCTTTGTTTTGTTTGCTTAATATTAGCATAAATTTCACATTATAATATGTATTAGGTTAGTAGACTACTCATATGCTTTTCAAAATATTTTCAACTTTTGTGGTGTGCAATTTCTATATAATGTTTTTTATTAAAATTTCTATTTTAAATTTTGAGTTTTAAAAATTTGATGTAATTAGATTGTGAAACGTCAAAACCTTAAAAAAAATTCATCCATGTTCAAATTAATTTCATGATACATACATCTTACTTTGAACATGTATCGACTAGATGAACAAATCAATTTTAATTTTTAAATTTGTGATGTGATTTATAAATAACATTCTTGTTATAAAATTTTCAGATTTACTTTTGCCATTATTTAAAAAAAATTGTATGTAAAATTTAGATGTTATTCTGCTAAAAATAAGAAATTTAGATGGATACTTTTTGTTATTAGATTAATTATAAATGTATAATAAATTTTTTTTACAGATCTGTTGTCATTTAAGTTGTGTGTTCAGGTTTTTTTCCCAACTTCTTTTGTAAAATTGTGTGATTATTTTGCTAACGTTTGTTAATTTTAAAGATAGAATTTTTTTAAATTTCATCAATAAAAAATATCATTCATTCTTAACTTTTTGAAATGTTAGGTTTAATTTTCATATTTAGCTTAAATCTATCATATATGTTAAAAATTGATAAAAAAAAAATTATATTTTTTTCACAATTCTTTGATAATATCACTAGATTCTATAATAAAATTTGATCCTAATCAAAATGTCGTACTTATGACTTGTCAAATTTTCACTTTGAAGCTTTGATCTATGTTTGGTATTTTGCGTAATATCTAAAAATCATCATCTAAATTTTTCATGTGATATTTCAAAATTAAATCTAAAAATTAATCAGATTACTATTTTCAGAAATTACATATTGATCTAAATAAAAACAATAATATCATTCACTAGAGTCATTGATTATGAATTTGAATAAGTAAGATCAAAAAGTATCATGAAATAGTCAATGTGAATATTTTTTATACAATCTTCTTTTTATGAATTTATATATTTGCAATTAATATTTGATCATGTATTTTGATTTTTAGATTTGATTTGTTTTTTATAGTAACTTAAAAAATCATGTATGCAAGAAATTAAATATCTTATATAGTTTGCTGTCAATATAACAATTATAGTTAAATTATAATAGTGAAAAGTACATTTCAACAAGAATGGGAAGATGGATGATATATAGTGATTTTTTTACTCAAATGTTGATGGCAGCACAACAATTATTACACAACGGAACGAGAGGATCTAATCACTGTGTTGACAACTCAGAGTATGCTTTTAGACGACAAACTTGATAGGAAGAGTGACGTCATCATGAAGATTGTGTACCATATGTGGAGGTCAAGTAACAACTTGTGAATGATCACATATGCATGTAATGTCTTCATCATGTTGCATAAGTGAAAATTGAAGACGATTGATGGAGCAAAAAGACATATTCCACAAAAGAGTTTGAAAAAATTATTAAAGCATTATAACCTAGAAAGGCTGAGAAGGCTAAAAGTTTTGCATTTGTATATAGATTTTGCAAGATCAAGGATTACACATAATGATTTTATTGAGAAGTCATAAGACAGCCATTGCAGTTCATGTAAGAGTGGAAAATACCTTGAAGAGCATACAACAAATGTATAACTAGCCTAAAATGCAAGATGATGTTGATGTTTGTGTTCAAATTGGTGTAGTTTTTCAACAAAAGAAAAGAAATGATTTTAAACCAGCCAGTTTGTTATAAACTTTTACTATTTCAAAACAACAATAAGAACATGTCATCATGGATTTTGTCCGTGATTTATCAACAATTTTGTGCAACATATTCACATAGTATTAGATCAAATGAAAAAGAAGTTGGTGATGACTTAGAATGACAAAAAAAACGTTTAAATGCTCCTTGTAAAAAATTGATTTTTCAAATAATGAATCATGCTTGATTTTCTTGTCTGCTGTAAAAATCTTTAGGTCTTGTCCTATATTCATTGATCTTTTTGTGATATTGAAACGTACAATTGAAGTGTCATACAAGTGAACATTTTTGTCATATATGAAATACATCATGTATTTCATATGTCATGATTGTAAAAAACATGTACAATGACCAAAACAATTTCCAAACCAACTTGCATTAACTCCTATACTAATTTAGATAGCTGATGATGAGGTATTTGAGTTACAATTAATCCTCAAAAAACATATTTCAGGCTATAAATATCTCAAAATAGAATGTTTGGTTCAATGAAAATGATATGCATCATATGAATAAACTTGAAAACCAACTATAAATCTAACTGTTGCATATTCAAAAGTGTGAGAAGTTTGACAAATTTACATTTTAAAAGTAAGAATATTTGTAATCATCTTTAGTTAAGTAAAACTAAAGTAGAGGTTACTTAAGATGGAAAAATTATTTACATTAAAATGAATTATCTATAGTCGCAACGTCAGCAATCCGTGTATTTGCTAATGTTTTCCGTCATATCATCAATCCACTCGTAGTGCAATGTATAGTGGAGATGATATCTTATTTCCTTATATTTATTGGTTAAATCAATATAAAATAATGTAAAAAACATTATATGTATCTTTCATCTTTGAAGTCTATGTTTCATTCTCAAGCAAGATTTCATTTAAAAATCTAGTGTTACAATTTAACTTGTTTCTTCTTAATTTCATATACATTTTTAAACACTATCTTAATTTCATTTTTGCTTTTTTTGTAGATTTGGTAAATAAAAAATTTAGTTATAATATTTATTTCCACAAAAGATTTTATTGTGTTTTAATTTTACTATCTTCGTGTTGTTAAAAGGTTGTTGTAAATATATTATTTTTTTATGGTCAAGACAAATTTGACATAAACTAACAATGTAACTCAAACTTCTCCATGAGTAAGATTGATTTATTACTCCTGGAATCATTTTATTATCTAAATAAACTTGGAAAAATTTTACTTCATATCTTTCTGATACATAATTCTCTATACGTTAGAAATTTGTTCAAGTTGGATGATAAAAGTCTTTATTATATGATGAATGTTTATTGGTAATTCATTGTATGTGATTTTATAAGCATGAAAATTTACTTTAACAAAATTATAATTGTTTCATTTGTAAATTGTGCATCAATGTCTACTTTCCACATGTATACTTTTAATTTTGTTTAGACATATTTAAAAGTTTTGATACATTTATGTTCATGTAAATATTTAAAGGTCGGACATTTTTTAGATTTATTTCTGAATATACAATTTTTTCCAAATTTCCAAATTTCAGTTTTGCAATTTGAAGAAATTTAATTTCAAAAAAAATTTGTTGCATTTCACATCATAAAATAGAAATTTTTTCTCTAATTAATATCTAATCTCATTTAGTGTATCATGTAAAAACCTTATCAGCAAAATAATAGCTCATAATTTTTTTTTCAATAATATCAAAAATACGAAAATTAAATAAGCTTGTGTTAATTTTTATCATTTATATTTATGCTTTTATGTATCTAGTTCACTTCTAGTCTTTAAGTCACATATATATTTCATCCAAAGCAAATGATTAATTTCATTTTTCAATATATTGAAATTTTTGACTATTTGATCACACATGGGTGATAAATATTGATTTTGATTAAACTTTAATATTTTGTATTGAGACTTCGACCTTAAACTCTTGAGTCGAAACTCTATATATCTTCTTCCAATTGAAAATTTTATACTTCATGCTTTATATGTTTTTTTGTTATGAATATTTTTCAGCTATTTCACTTTTGTCATGATCGGATTTGGGATCATATGTACATGCCTTCATTCACTATTGAAATAAAAATATGAATAGTACTATCATTCATTTTTTTAAATAAGATAAAAATGATTATAAAATAATTCTACAATATTTTTCATCAAAAAATTTCACAACTTTTTTTTTCACATTTTCTTCTAATGAAAAACTATATAATTTGCTAATTTTTTAAAATCAAACAGATGAATCAAATTCATATCAAGCTAATTCTAATTTCATTATGTTAATATTTTTTACTTTAGTTCAAACTAGGAGATGTTTATGCTTGTTTGATATTTTCGTTAATATATCCAAGTTCTGATATTGAATACTCTTCAATGACAAACAATCTCAATAGATTGGAATTACAATTTATTTGATAGATCTCGACAATATGCTCAAATATTTTACAATTTGCTAATATGTATTATGGAATATTTACGTTAGTTTTATATGTAATTGTTCTTAAAATTGTGTACTTAACAATAGTCAAATTAACTAGCATAATCACAAAAAAATGAAAACTTAAAAAATTCAAATAATGTTTTGAATAAATGTCAATCTATAATGAAAATGTTATTTTAATGTTCAAAATTATCTTACTTGAATTTTTAGATTATTATCACAATTATTTGTAATTCATAAATCAAATATATTTATTAAAATTAATCCAATCATAGCAAGCATGTTTATATATATACATTCATTTTTAAAAGAATTAGTTATAATACATTTTTTTAGAAAGATATAATGTGTGTTATTCAATTTAAATCTATATATAAAAAATTATATGCTTACATATATTTGAATTTTTCGAATTATTTACACATAATTTTTTCATTTAAAAAAAAAACAGTGCAGAGCTTCTACCACTGAGTTAGTTGACTCATTCAACTACTTTTTCTGAGCTTCCTTAGCTAGCACCACTATAGTTAACTATACCAGAAGAAGGAGGCGTTTTGGCACCACTATAGTTAACTACTTGAAACAGAATCAGCAATCTAGGACCTATCTTGAGTGGCTGTGGAGAGTACCAATTTTCAAGTGGTTACATTAAGTTTACTCTTTTATCACCTGTTGACGCTCGGGGGACCACGTTGTTTGGAAAGCTGAAGTTCTACCTTTGCAAGCCTTCATCCTGTCACGATTAGACACACAAATATTCTTTCATCAATAAGTAGGAGAATGCTTATCATAGGTTGCTTACATAACTATCGGGATGAACGGGCGAGGAGGTGGTTGAAGTAAAGGAGAAGTGAACCTAGCAACTGCTCTAGTAGAGAGCATTATGATAATCAGATTCTGCAGATATCGTTCTGCTCGTTGTTTCTGTATCTTTTGTCTGGAGTGCTGTCAATCCGAAGTCTGAGCTTTCATAAAAGAGAATGGTGAAAGAGTGAGTGAGTCTCTGATTCTTTCGCCTGCTCTTCTCCGATGAATAAGTACTACGAACATGTTGAAATTTCACGCATTACGTCCTGAGTATTCTGCTTTTTATGAACACTGAAGAAGATTAACCTTTATGACCGTAATATGTATGTGAATTTACTGAGATGATGCTCCAGTTACTCTACGGTCTGTGACTCAATGCAACTATGTGATTGTCAAAATCTGTATCGGATATTGGTTCGTGCATTGACTCACCGATCTCATCGTCTCACTTCCATGGAACGTTGAGTGAACAAGCTGATAGATGATGAGACAAACTGTAACTTGCTGGTCATGCAAGCTGAAGCGGCCAAAATTTGAATATTCTACGTAAAACATCAGCGCTGTGAAAGAACCAATTTTTGACAGAGACAGACTTTGCCGGTTATAAAAGTCGGTACTCACGTTAATTTTATGTGGACGAGTTTTAGTGTTCTGCCTAGCACAATTGCATTAAATTGTCATGTGATCAATCAGCTGATTCACGTTCCTGTTTAGTAGCATCTTCACCGTCGTACAGATACATGATAGTACGCTTGGGGATTTTTTTTTTCCAAATGCCATCCAATCGAACAACGTCGTCGGGGTTTGATGGCATGAGGTGTTTGTTGATCTTGAAGAACATATTGATCTCTACCAATCCGGCATGCAGTGACGACCGCTTTGGAGCCAATTCATCAGATAGGCCGCCCAAATCACACTCCAACCCTCCCGATGACGACTTGTTAGACAGAAGTGCTAAGGATACTTGGCTGAGGCAAGGGAAGTCGTTTCAAATTCTTGTCCACCAAAAACACAGATCAGCCGGAGCAGGCCATTCGTCTTCGTTAAGTTGCCCCATTTTCTTGATGTTCTCCATTTTGGACGAGACGATTTGTTTAGCAGTCAGTGCAACACCACTGCAATTCAGTAGATCTTGAGCACTGTTGCTGATGTTTGACTTTCCCTGCGCTGCCTTGATGATGGACTTGGTTTCCAATCTCGTGCGCTTTGTAGGCTGAGAACTCGTCTCTGCTGGGACAAACCCGGGGGCAGGGCGGGAAGCCACAATCTATGCGGTAATCACGTCGGCTAACGTGGTAAATTTTCCCCAAATGAGTTTCATTAGAAACTCAAAATGCTGCTTCTTGAATGCGCTAACAGACCACCCCACAGGAAAGTACTCTGCGCGTCGAACAGGTAGGTGAACTTGAAGTCTGATTCGCCAAGGACTTGCTTGAGAAAAACCGGGCGACCATGAACCATGCCGTATACCTTGTCGGGTTTTTGAAGCGCATATATCAAATGGTATCGATGGTAGAAACAAGTTGACAATGCTTCTAAGAGCAGCGATCGGGCCTCACGTGTGCATTCTTGAAGCTGCTCACATGCTCAATACGTGACGTTTGTTGCAGCTAAGCCCAATTGACGACGAGACGGTTCCAACAATGCCAACGATTTGCTTAAATGAAGTGTTGTTGTGTAGAGCGTGAACAGCAGTAGATACACGTCAACTACCATGTCGTGCGAATACATATCGCCATACACTCTACATCGCTGACATGCTACTCACATACACATACGCACACATACACACATATAAAGCGCGAGAGAGTACACACTCAAATGTCACAACTCGCCCCCCTAGCTGGCGGTCAGGTCCCTCTAACTCCCAGGTAGTTATATCTACAACTACATGCTATACACCTTTGTGGGTGCGCAAACCAGTAGGCCGGGTGCTATGTCGTCCCATCGTTAGTCGCCTATCTGCAATTCATAACATGTGAAGATCAAGTCATCTACCCCTCTGAAATACATCGAGGACAAACCCATTGTCCAGCCGGAATAACATCGATAGGCGAAGTCAGGCACAACATGTGCCATCCCCTAGAACACCTATCACACACCAACATACGGGCCGCCTGACCAGCTGACCCACACAGCATGCACCTCAAGCCAGCACGTACTATCGCTAAGCTTGGGTCCATAGTGCCATCTACGTTTGGGAGGTGGCATGGTGCACAATTGCGCACATGATCCTTTCAAACAACGCCGTTACGCTCCCTCCAACAGGAGAACTCCAGAAGGTAACACCTCCCGCACCCGCAAGATTGTGCGTCCCGCTGTCACATCCAATGTCTTCGGTGCAGTCTGCTGTAGATAGACGTAGTCTCCCACATGGAATCTACGAATTGATGGTCGATAACCTCCTCCCCGAATGGTTGCATACCGCAACGTATCTCTATGTTGAGCAATCGCAAGATTCTCAAACGCTGTAGGCATAACTCTCCGAAAGAGCTCTTCACGCTGAGAACATACTCGCACCCACATATTCGGATCATCAAGGTTCACCACCACGCTAGACTCACGACGAATCGATGTTGGCAAGTCTGGATCTCGGCCGTACAATAGAAAATATGGTGAGAAGGAAGCCAAGGATGCCTGCCGACTGAACCGATATCCCATGGCCAACCACGGTAACTGGATATCTCAGTCCCCAAGATGACCTTTCTGCAGGGCATACTTGCGCAACGCCCTCTTCACCGTCTGTACAACATGTTCAGCTAAACCATCCGCCTCTGGATGATCTCGCGACGTGGTCCGATGATCAATCAGTGCCTTGTCGCACAAGACCTGAAACTCACCCTGAAACTCCGTTCCCTGATCGGTCAACACCTCAGCTGGTGCACCATAGTGACTAAGCACTCGGTCAAGGAAAGCATACGCTACTCCCTCACTTGCCTTGTCAGGTAATGCCACCAACTCAATCCACTTGGAGAAATGCTCCACCATCACCAACACATACAGATGATGTCGTACAGTCAAAGGTAGTGGTCCAGCAAAGTCCAAACCCCAACGGTAACCCAACCCCATGATGGGTAATGGATGTAACACTGGTGTCGGGGCATTGAATGATGCCCTCACTCGATCACAAACCATGCAACGTGATACCAACTACTGTACCTGAGTATGCATACCACGCCACCAATACTGACCAAGGAGTAAGCTGTATGTACGCTTCACTCCAAAATGTCCCAACTCCTCATGAGCATGTCTCACAATGCGTGCTCTCTAGGCTGGATGTGGTACTACTCGTACCCTACCGTCCTCCCACACTCGGAGAACATGTGATTCCTCCAATCGGTACCTCTTGGCCCGTTGGAGAACACGATCTCGCTCCTTGGCACGCACTGTGCCTGGCACCATGCTGGTCCGTATGAACTCCAACACCAATGCATCATCGTGAACATCACGCTGATCCACACCACCATCCTCAACCTCGGGATCTGAAGATCGACCATCTACTCTCTGACTAGAGTATGATGTCAGATGATCCTCTCTGCTGAAGTTCTCACGTAACCAACACATGAAGGCTGATGCATGCCAACCAGGCACCATCTCCTCGTCAACCTCACCATGCCATCTAGCTCCAGTGTCATGCTCCTGGCTAGTGCATGGGTTCCGACTCAAACCATCGGCATATAGGTTCGCAACTCCAGGTCTATGCACTACTTGAAAGTCGTACTCCTGTAAGATGAGAGCCCACCGTGCAAGCTTCCTTGTAAGCTTGTCGGACTCCATCAACCACTTGAGCGGTTGATGATCAGTAACAAGGGTGAACTGCGTACCAAACAAGTAACACATGAAGTGTGCCACAGCCCACACCGCTGCCAAGCACTCTCCCTCGTACGAACTATATCGCGACTCCGCCGCATTGTTCGAACGACTAGCGTACGCAACCACAAACTCCTTGCCCTCATAATCACGCTGCGTTAACACCGCTCCAAGTCCCAACATACTCCAATCAGTGTGCAACTAGTATGGACGACCTCTGATAGGTCTCCTCAAGATGGGAGCGGCCACCAACCTGGCCTTGAGCTCAACAAAAGCTCTCTCTTGCTCATCTCCCCATTGCCACTCCTGATCTGACTTCAGCAACAGGTTCAAAGGCTTGGCTATAGCACTGAATCCCTTCACATACTCCGGTAGTAGTTCGCCAAACCCATGAATGCACGAACTCTACTCACATCCGTGGAACGAGGGATGCGTGCAATAGCCTCCACCTTTGCTTGCTGAACTCCTAAACCACCTGGGTATATCACATGACCCAAGTACTCAACCTTCTCCTGGAAGAACTTACACTTCCCAGGATGTAACCTCAAACCATGAGCCCTCAATCGCTCAAACACAATCTGCAAGTGTATCTGATGTTGCTCCACAGTGTCACTAAACACCAAGATATCATCAATGTAACATCTGACAAAATCCAGCCCCGCCAGGATTCTGTCCATAACCCCCTGAAACTCGGCAGGTGCATTCTTCAACCCAAAGGGTAAGAATCGCCACTGATACAAACAATCCTTGCCGTGGGAGTTGACGCCCCAAAACGCTGTCTTGGTTTTGTCCTCCTCCCGAATTGGCAACTGATGGTATCCTGCCCGAAGATCCAAAGTACTAAAAATCCTCGCATGTCCCACCACATCGAAGATCTCCTAAGGTGTAGGCATGACATACTTATCGGACTTCGTCTGCCGATTGATAAGACGGTAGTCTCCACACATGCGCCTATCCGTGTAGTTGCCATGTACATCCTTTTTCACCGGCATGACGTTGGCTGACGCATACTCCACATGCGATAACTCCACTAGTCCAGCCTCCAGTAGGTCCAATGTCCTACTCCGAATCAAATCTCTCTCCATCTCACTGTATCGATAAGGACGACGGAAGATTGGCGTATCACTAGCCAATTCTATCCATATACCGGGTCCAATCAATGCACTCAACTCCTTCATACAGAAAGCAAAACAACTCCTATAGTCTCGTAGAAATTGTTTCAATCGTCGCATCTCTCCTCCTGTGATTTGGGAACCAATCAATGGCTCCCATTCCTCCTCCATAGGCACACTAGAGGGAGTCGACACTGTCAATGGTTGCTACGCTACACACTGCAAAGAAGGGTTCTCCGTACCTTCCTTCGTAGCCACCTCCACACGAGAATCCTCTCCAACTGCATGGGCTGCAACTCTAGCAAGTACTTTCGTCACGTCCCATAAACTCCAAGGATGACGAATATCTCGCCTGTCGCGCCCAGCCATTGCCTCTACCGTCTCGGACGGCAATGAGCTAACAAGTGGTGTACCAACCATCAAATCAACGCGCAAACGGCGTTGCTCTGCCAAACCCAAGCTCACAATCCACGTCAAGCAGTTCAAGTCCATAGCTTGACCCAAAACCTGACGACGCGAAGCCTCTGAAACTGTAGCAGCTGCGGTGACACCAGTCATAAATCCCATCGCACGCTCTCTCTCATCAGCGTTGGGCTCCACCAACTGATGTACTATACTGTCCCACAGTAATCCAGGTCCATCATCACGATATGCATGTGATGCCGGATAACTGACAAATGTAGGTAAAGCCATCCGAGGCTGACCTACACGGTTCACCTTCGCCGTAACTGACCTGTCAGCAACTCTCACTACTTGAGAGTGTCGAAAAACATCCAAGCTACTATCAACGGTGAGTGTAGGATCACGCTGCACAGAATCATAGGCATGACGCAATATCTCACGTGGCAAAAGGTTGATCCACCATAAACGTGCACGATGAGCCCTGTAAGACCAGATATTGCATGTGTGAAATAAAACTAGAATTAGCCAAGGAGTTAATCATGGTTAAGATAGTTATGACTAAATCTAGCTAGTTTAGCTATAATGTCTATACTTGGCGGAATAACTAGAGAAGTTCTAGAAGATTTGAGTGAGCACTTCTATTTTGTCTTGTACAAAAGTCTAGATTCCAAGAGAAAAGACTTTTGAACTTCATGTTTAGTTTTGATTGGTTTGACTAAACTAAGGAGTATTC